AAACTGGGGATTGGAACCAAAAAAAAAACCGGTATTAAATAGAAACCTTTTAAACATTTTGGAACTGGAATCCTAAACAATTTTTTTTAGAATCGAAACTAAAACCTATATTTTTATGTATAGGTTTTTTTCTATTCCAAATTCCTTCAGAAATTTTACTTATTTCTAATGCATTATGGTAGAAGAAAATTATATCTAATAACATTAATTATGTGTTGCATTATGTATTTATAATTAATGCTAATAATTATAAAATCCACTTTTTTGATTTTTCTTAACATATTTTTAGTCATGATTCATTATATTTATGTCATGGTTGTCTATCTATAACCGTGGTTATGTTAAAATAATAATTCTATGCAAGCATTTATCAGTTATCGTTGATTGACAAATTACACCATCAAATTATGTCCGTGTCATAGTACAAATTCTTTTCAAAAATAAATATTTATTAATAAAATATTACACCGGACTTCAGTAGTGCCCTGCCGCCCCCCCCTAAATTGATCAATATTTGGCCACCCGGGGCAATTGTCCCCATTGCCCACTCCCTAAATATGGCCCTGTTGCCACCCATATTAATGTCTTTTTATTAAATGTATTTCAAAAAGTATATCCAATTAAATATTCTTGTTTGTTTCCATTTTTCGGGACTTAATTTGTTCTTTGAATTTATATATATTAAATGGGTATAACGTATGTCATGGTGTTATCGATTGCTAACTTTTTAAGAATAACTGCATTACTATTGGGTATATATTTTTCTTCAAATATCAATATTTTTATTAATTTAAAATTTATTTTTATTTTTAGCCTCTTGATAGATCACAAACTCCAGAACAAGAACTTCCTGAAGTACTAGAACATGTAATGGAGCCTGACAATCAATATGATGAAGTCTAGTTAGTTAACAACATTTTTTTTTTATGTTATTATTAATCATAAAATATATTACACCTATTTATTTGTATACAATATAGTGATGGTCAAGAGAGTATCTCAAGTGTTTCATCTCATAATGATGCAGATTCTGGTGATGAGAGAGGATCTTCACATTTTTCAGTTTCTGAAAACCATAACACAAATGCAGATGAAGAAAATAGAGATGGTACTTTAGATGTATCTAATGAAACTCCAAGAACAAGAGTTGTACCATTTATTATGTCACCAACACCTTTTAGTCCACCACCCGAATCTCCTCCAGATACTCCAGAAATACCAGTGACAAGAATTAACAATGATTTACTGGATGCAACTAGACCATTACCATTGATAATTAACACTGATGATAATCATAATACAGTTTTCAATAATCAGTAAGTAACTTACAGCTCATAATAATAATTAAAAACAAATGAAATACAAAAAAAGTGGACAAGTGGGTACCACTCTGCTGTACAGTAGTTGTCGAGTATGTCATTGTAATGGATGAGTTCAATGATAAATCAGCTTAAAAAGAGAAAAAAACATTGAAGGGCATTGAAAAAAATTGTATATATAATTTTTAGATTCTTCCGTTAGGTAGAGAATATTTTTAAAATTTGTAATCCTTAGCTATAAAAAATGAACATTTTATAAATTTTTAACTACAAAATAATTAGCAAATTATTGTGTATTTTAATTTGTTCTTGGTTTTATAAGTAATTTTTTTTATTAAATTTTTTTCAGTGACTCAGTATTACCACTTCCTGATTACACCATTCCTGGCCCATCTCACTTCAGACGTGTTGTACGTTCTGATATACTTAATAATGGTTCAATTAGTAGAACAATTGAAGTAGAATTAAATACTACAGAAAATGAGACAGTTAATAATTCAGTTAGAATTGATGAAATTGTTGATTCTGTTAATGGGGATAATAGTGAAACAATCTCGAGAATTCCTCATCCTACATTAATATGTGCAATGCATAGCAATAATCAGTAAGTTTTTTATTTAAACTTTAAATTGAGTACCCACAAAAGATAATAATGAAAATAATAATATCAAACTCTGACATTTTATCCCGCTGTGAATAAACAGAAAATAAAGTAATGTTGTGGATGTTCAATATTATTCTGCACAGAATATTTTATATACAGTATAACACCCTTTTATAATATATAAATAAATAAATAAATAACATACTACCTATATACTGAATAATTTTTAATAATGTTTATTTAAATTGTTTTAACTGTAGTTAAAGTATATATATATAAATATAATATTCGTTATTTTTAAAATTGCGTAGATCTAGAGCAACAGAAGAAACAGCACCATCACGTTTTGAAGAACATCCAGAAACATATGTGGACCTTAACGATCAGTTAATACGTTTATTTGAGTGTCCTGTATGTTTCGAACATATTGTCCCTCCCATTTTTCAATGCCTACTTGGACATTTGATTTGTAATAAATGTGTACTTATGTGTGAAAATTGTCCAACTTGTAGAAATCCGTTCAACTCAAAACGTAACCTATATATGGAAAAAGTGAATTACTTTTTATATTTTAACTGTAAAAAAAACATTCTCAATGATAATTTTTTTGTTATTTTAAGGTTGGTTATTTAGTCAAGTTTCCCTGTAGAAATGCTCTAACTGGGTGCAAGCAGCAAATGTTTGTTGGTCAAAAAGAAGTTCATGAGAAAGAATGTTCTTATAGACATTACCAATGTTTTTTCACTAATTGTGCTTGGAAAGGATATTATCCTGAATTGCACTCCCATATGATTAATAATCACAATAACTTCATTTTAACTGGATCAGAACAGGTGCAGTTTATTAAGCAATTATTAGAGAAAAAAGTTATAGATTATTAATATACATTTTTGGAATTTTATGTTTTACTAATTTCAATTTCAATTTATAGTCTCTTGATATTATGTTGCCCAATAATAATCAAACATACAAGTGGTTTTTATTATCTCATTGTGAATATTTTGCTGTAATCGTTCATTCATCTATACCACCTAGACGAGTAAAGATGTAAGGATTTTGTTTATTCAGTAGATAATTGAAAAAATATTTGTTCTCTATAATTTAAAAATAATTAAAAACTAAAAAGAAAGAATATGTAAACACTTGTTGTACTTTAAAAGTTATCGATTATTAATTTAATGTTTATTATTATTTTCAGCCAAGTAAATTTTATTGGGCCAGCAGTTAAAGCAAAAAAATTTAAATTTTCCGTACTGTTATCCCAGCATAAAGATCGTAGCGATATGTCTCAAAAGTTAATGTATGAGAGATTAACTCTTCCATATTCAGAAATATATGAGATGTCTAACAACAATGGTCTGAAAAAAGATATATTTTCTTTACCCGGTGAAGTGCTAGAGCCTTTTATAAAAAAAAGACGCCGTCGCCTACCAATAATTTTAAAAGTTGGTCCTGTATCTGGCTTGTGAATCTAGTATCTACTAATGAAAAACATGTTTTAATAAATGTGTGTAATGTATTTAATATAATATATATATATAATGTGTGTAACAGTAATTTTACTCTTGTATAAAGTATTTTATCATTAATATATTGTTTCTGTATATTTAGTAAAATAAAAGAATATAGAAGCTAAAAATGTTAAGTATGTAAAATATATTTTCATTGGAGAATGTGTTTAACATTTTTTCATTTTAAATTTAAAAACTAAATTGTTCATAAAAAAAAAATTTTATAAAAAGCTTATTAAATATGCGTTATAAATAATAGGATTGTGTTTTTAGTTTTTTACGTTATATTATTTTAAATTGTCTTAAATGATCTATACATAACTTTTTGTACATTAAGCATATTTTTTGTTACTATTTAAATCTGTACATGAAGACTTGAAAGAAAAAGGTATCACTGATCAGTACGATTTTATTATATGTTTACTAGTCGCGATACCAATTTTTTATGAGATGACTGAGGTCCAGGACTGATAGAGGATTCCCTGGTGAAGGCGGATTCAGATCTCATTGATGCAAGTTGGAGGGCTAAAAAAGGCCGGGCTTAAATAATCGAATTATATATAATATCATATTTTACACATTAATTATTATATTCCACTGACACTATATTAATTATTGATCTAATATCTTATGGTTATTCAACACATTTTAAATATTTTTTTAAAAGTTTTTTAGTTGAAAACGTGCTTTTACTTTACCTTATTCCAGTTTGATGTACTAATGTTTACTATATTCAAATGTCGTAAAATAATATTAAACATTTCTTACTTATTTTGTGGTTGTTATTAAAACACTCCATTATTATTCCCAATACACACAACTGCACAATGCAGAGACCGACAATTATTTATTATTCCATATCTACAGAGTAGTAGAGTACAGACTACAGTACACAGGTGCCTTAAATGCTGTGGTGTTTGTTAGTGACACTAATATATAGACAAATCTAGGCAATACTAGTATTTATAATCAATGGTGGCACTAAGCAAAATCTTAATTTACATTTGTTAAATGGACGTCCATGGTTATAACTCATAACATTGCTTAGATTTATATTTTTATCCAAAATGTTTGGAACCACTTAAACATTTATTACCTGAACATTGAGCAATATTAGTACTAGACTCTTTTCGTTTATATTACAATTTAAAAAGTGTACAAATGATTGACCATTTTAACTTCGGCCTTCTGAAGGCAAATTTACCCTATATACGTAGAATGCGCCCATAATTCATATTATATGATATTAGAAGCACAGAATAAAACTTAAAAGTGATTATACGTCTTATACTATTTTTCCAGATTATATTAAAATAAAATAATATAAATATTAATATATTTAAAGGTTTAAAAATTATTCTAATTTAATTTTAATAATATTATTAATATAATCTGTGCTATTTTCGTGAACAAATTCAAATTCTAACGTTCCGTTCATGAATATTTTATATCGGCTGCTAATTACATATTATCTTGTTGTACAAATGGTCATACTGTAAGTTATCACTAACAATATTTTTCTCTGTATTGTTGTTGTCGGTTTTGTTGTTTTGCTTTTGGTAGATTACTAATCATTAACTACTAAACTACTTGTAGATTACCAGTCAGTTAGACTTATTACTTCAACTGTCCAAATATAATTTTTATTTATTTTCATCTACCTTTGAACGGTATATATTTTTTAAAGTTGAACAGTAAAACATATAGCTTTGTATAATAACTTCATAATAAAAATGACGAAACCAAAAACTTTTCTTTCATTACTCATATTGTCCACAATATTCATACAAGGTGAGTGCTACACTACAGGGAGTGGCCCTTTGGTATTTTCTGTTGTTATTTCTTAAATTGGATTTTTAGATGTTTTAAATTTAAATGATTTATGTATCGTGTTATAGCAGTCTAATAGCAGTTTAAATAATCATTGAAAGAGTTAATTAAATTTATTTATTTGTTATTATTTTGTAGCTCAATCATTTTTATTATGCTACCAATGTGTTTCAACACATCCAGGTTGTGGCAAACCATTTAAGTGGTTGTGGCATAAAACAATTTTTTGTCCTGAAGAAGATGATATATGTGTAAAAGTCATTGAGAAAGTCGGAGGTAATTATTTGTAATATATACAATAAAATTATAAAAACATTTCATTAAAAGTGTTGATTTTTTCTTTGTTTATTTCAATATAAATTATTTAAAACCTAAACATCAAATTATTTACAGTTAATGAATATTACATTTTTTAATGTTTTTTTTTTTTTAATGTATTGCATTGAATAAGTTATTAGTGGTGAAGGTAAGGTCTGTTAAGACAATATCATAATTTCCTGTTTTTGACTTGAGTAATTTTATGGTAAAATCACTTACAACAAAAATTATGGAGTATAATAATTCTAAGGGCTTAACATATCATTTAAGTATATTATTGATAATTTATTTAAATTCCACTTGTAAAATAAAACCCTGGTACTAGTCTAATGACTCTAATGTATGATGTACTGTGTGTTATACTGGCTTTAGTTAGATTTACCAATTCATTATATCCACGCAATTGTAATGAAACTATTATTAAGATAACATTATGTTTATTTTAATAAAGGTCTTATATAGTTATATTATTAAAATGTGTTATGAAAAGTTTTGTCGCATAATAGTCGGGAATTTTTCTTTAGTTTAATCACAACTATTGTTGTAGTTGATAGGCTGAAATTAGGTAAAATAATACTTTTGTGTGATTTTATTATTTATTATTTTTATTTATGGCTAAAAAAATGTTGATTTATGTATACAACACTCAAACTAGTTTGATCGTTTTTTTAAATAAATACATTTATTAGGAAATGATGAGTAGTATGCTATATAAGAATCTGTACATTTATTTATTTATGCTTAATACTGCTTAAAAATGCTGTAAAAACCAATAATATTAGTCCAAAATCATAAAAAAACATACTATAGGTAACTCTGCATGAATGCGTTTTGTCTATATACTTGGGTGGGGTCGAAAATAAATAAACCCACTAACAATCATAATATACTAAGTCTCTAAGATTTTATTAAATTGTATAAGATCTTATTTATATTTTATAATATGAATAGGTTAGGTTATATGATAACTCTAACCTAATGTCTGAACATAAAAACATTGTTAGAATAAATTTATATACTCCATTCACCAAAAAAAGGAGCCTTGGTGGTTGTTGGTGTGCATGGCTTAACCACACAGATGGTTGACTCAGTGGGGTGACAAACGTGTGTTGCTTTACCTTCATTAAAAAATTAAAAATAAATTGCTTAATTTGCTTTTGAATATTAATTATTTTCAATTTGGTTTCTAATTTCACTTAATTTTCCTGTCATAGTGGAACAGCTGTCATAGGTTTGACTGTCCATTTTTGATAGATCAAGTCTAAATTTGATGAGAGTGGACAGAATTTGGTCATACATAGTTTCTGTGTTCAAATTTTGCAGTGGTAATTTAAAATAGTGTCTCCTGTGTCTACAGCATTATGCAATTTTTAAGATTATTTGCAGTTTTTATTTGTAGGTTTTGGTTGGTCACAACTATCAGGGAGCACGAACAATGATATAAAGAATTTTGTTTTGAAACATTTGAATAGGACAAATTTTTGATGGTTTAGTTGATTTGTATTGACAAACCATATGATCAGAGTAGTCTAGTGATGGTTTTGTACAGGAGGATTTTTGAGTTTGGAATGTAAGAGAGATGGAAAAAGTACAAAATTTGAAGTTTAATATTGGCTATTTAATCCCATTTTTATTTTGATTTAAAGTAGGGCCCCGAGTTAGCTGTTTGTCTTGTAAAATACCAAGATACTTTTTTGTTGGATACAAAAATTGGTTACATTGTTTAAGGTTACACTATTGAGGGACATATATCACGGTAAAGGAAGAAAGTGATATAAGTTGACATGCTCTCATTTATTTGATCAACTAGTTTTTGCACCCAGCTCTAATGAGGCCGGTGTGATAATGCAAATTATGTGCAGCTGTAGAGATAAAATTGCATGTGGATTTTATGGTGTTCGGACAAAATCCCGCAACCAAAATCCCGCCTGACGAAATGCCGCCACCAAAATCACGTCTGGACAAAATCCCGCCCGAACGAAATCCCGCCGGGTAAAATCCCGCAAAAAAACGTATTGTACGTAAATTCATTATAACGTAATTCGTTAAACTGTTTCAAAAGTTGTCTACTGCTGATCTGTATTGGTTATTGTTGTTATTTATAAAAGTATATCATAATATATATGCGGAACTGGTAATGCGTTATCGCTTATCGCTTGAACGATAATTAGGAAATCCGTATACGGTATAGCCATATAGGTATATATATATAATATATATACGCAATTAACTGACGCGCGTGTACGATCTATTGTACTTCATCTCCGAATTTACGATATTAGTATACTTCTGACATTCGTAACATCAAATTAATAAATCAGTCTACAGAAACCACCAAAAAATGATAAAACAATATGGAAATGCGTGGAAAGCAAAAATGTTATGTGTCGCGCGAGAGTCCACACTAATGGTGAAGAAATTACGAAAGTTATGAATGTGCATTCCCACCCACCTGATCCAGCCAAAATTAGTGGTAATCGAATTTTTTCTAAATTGAAACAGTTATCTATGGATGTAGGATTATCAACTCATACTGTAGTCGCAAATGTTTGCCAAGACATTACACCAGGAATTTCTAGTGTATTACCCAGTATCAGTTCTTTAAAACATAATGTACGGCGATATAGGGTATGCTTAGAAACTTCCCTCTCTAATCCATCTTCCCTAGAAAACTTAATAATACCGGAAAAATACTTACTGACAGCGGGGAAAAAACCGTTTATGTTCTATGACAGTGGAAAGGAAGATCCTCAACGATTACTGATTTTTTCTACCAAAGAAAATTTAGAACTCCTCACAACTTGTGATCATTGGTATGCTGACGGAACATTCTCCTCTTCCCGGCCACTATTCTCACAAATTTATACAAAACAATTCAATGAACTTTTTGCGGTATTTCGTCCGAGCGGGATGCCGTCCGACGGGATTTTGTCCAAACGCGATTTAGGCGGCGGGATTTCGTCCGGCGGAATATTGCTGGCGGGATTTTGTCCTAGACTCGGATTTTATAGCTATGTTAGGTTGCTATTAGTATGTCAGGCCTCAGGGGTTTGTGGATGTATGCTTTATAGTTTATAGGTATCTTAAATGTCAAGTGTAGATCTAAAAGAGAAAACCAATATTGAGTTTCATCCTCTTAAGATTAGATGTCATTGTCACATTTTTATTAAACAATATTTAATTTTTATAAAATTAAATTTTAACAATAAGTTTATAATATTAACTTTTATTTAAAATTTTTTAGCTGAAGAACGTATTACTCGTGATTGTTTGAGTTCATTAAAAGGTTTTCGAACAGATATTCCAGCCGACAAGTATGAGGGTTGCAGAAGAAGTTCTAAGGATGTTAAACTAGGCCATTATGTGAATAATTCAATACCTGAATTGGATATCAAACGGTATATTTTTGAAATAAACGTAAATTATTACATTTTAATTATTGTAAATATTTACAGAGACTATTACGATTCAACTACCTGGTGCTTTTGCTATTTTGATCATTGGTGTAACTCAGCTAACATGTCTACATCTTCCAATTTGCTTATAGTGTTGATAAGTATATTTTTTTTTGTTCGCAATATTGATCAATAATTATTTTTTTACGAACATAAATTTAATATAAAAGACTTATGTTCATTATTTGTGCCTAAAAATCAAACACTGATTTAGATTTTTGGTTTTATTATTTACAAATAATTTAAAATATTGTTGATAATGATATTTTTTTTGGAAATATTTTTGTATTCAACCATATTGTAAAATTAGTATACATTTACTATAATTTATATAATGTATATTTAATGATGATAACTAGAAGAACAATATTGTGATCACAGATTGTTGTTTAACAATTTATAATTATTATAGCACTTTAACCAAATAGTTTTATAATGATAAATCATTCATTAAATTATTCATGTTTAAGGGTATAATTTAAAACACCAAACATTTAATTCTCATATCCGTCCAAATGTGTTTGGTCTTTTGTTATACAACTTTGTTTTAATAGTTAATTGATACATTATATTTTCTAAGTGCGACTGTCTTAAATTATAATTTAGTTAAGGTTATTCTTTAAAATTACCGAATCCGTCCATTTTATACTATTTTTTTTATTAAAACCAACAATCATTTATACATTTTTTGTTTATTTTTTCTGAAATAAAGCGTTTTATATTGTTAAAAAGTATTAAAGTATTTTGTAATTTATAGATCCAATCCATCTATCGTAATAAAGAGAAACTATTTTTGTAGTTAGAGGTGCTTAATTAAAAAAAAATTAACACATTTACTAAATTTTTTTTCTAAGCACCATGATTACATAAATAGTAGTCAAATAAAATACTAATTCATACAAAGTGATTAATTTATTACTTTAACAGTTAAATCATAACAAGTTTGATTGTCCTATGATGCTTAGAAGGAATAAATACATACAGTTAAAAAAAATCAAGTTCATTAAATTTTTTTTTAAAACTACACCTAGCTTAACATTCTGAGCTTAGAATACAAGTTGATAGATCAAAATTACTTTAAAAATGATATTTAAAATAGGGCTTTCTATTAAAAAAATTAAGTTGTGTTGTGCATGAGTTTAACGAATTTTGAGTTCTAGAAATTTATGATCCATTAGTTTAGTTGAGTGACCCACAAACAGAATTGAAAATTATTTACAGAGTAATGAGTTATAAAGTGCACCCTGTTCCCGTGGATACACGGTGTATGTATTCTATTTTTGCCTTTTGGTACTTAAAGTTACACCTTTTCAAATCATTATCATTTTTCTTTTCTTATTACTGTATTCAAGGCATTATGTATTTTTTAAGTATTAGTTAATATTTATTACTAAGCTGCCTATGTAACATTGCAATTACTTTAACTATAGACTACACACAATTTTAACTTATGCATTTTTATTTTTGAAACTTGAAATTTTTTACTTTTTTTATTTTATGTGTTAAATTAGTTTTGCATAAAGTATTGTATTTTAGAGCAGTTTCTTTTCTCCTAGCGTAATAATTATTTCACTATTTTATAAATAGGTGGACAAGCTTTTTTGTGTGAATAATTTCGATTTTATAAATATTGTAAAACTAATTCATATTGTTAATTATTATCAAGGGAAACCAATAACAATAACATGTGAATTATGAATACTTACTTCAGTGGACAGTGGTCAGAGTTTCATAGTTATAATATACTAATATATTATATTATTATGTATACTCAATTCAAAATAAAAACGTGTTTTGCACAGACCAGTTTTTGTCATTGACAGTCAGGCAATGGGTGTCTGTGACATTCTGACAAGTCTATGTTGAAGCTATGATCCTACGCACAAGTCATCTATCTTGTGCAATCTTATTTTGAACAGAGTACCTATGTCAATCAAGTGTTTAAGTACCAACTCTCAAATAATTTGAAAAATGAAACTTTCAATTAGTACGGGTAGTAAGACATTGTAATATTGTCATTTATCATTAATTGATGGTGATAGTATAATGTAACCATTCTAAATTGTAAATAAAATTAAAAAATAATATTAAACAATTTCAATTACCTAAATGTTTAATATTCTTCTCATTGTTGTGGGTATATTTAACCTACTTACTTCTGAAAAAGCTAATATTATATTATATAAAATATATTTCGATTATATTGGGTTGGGAGCGATAAGCAGGGCCTCTGAAATATTGTGTATACATTAAAAACTGGTGTAATTGTGCGATTATTATTTATGTCCCCCCATCACACATTTGTTTGCACAAATGTTCGCGCGAATGCCTTATCCTCCTTATCCGCCGCACACACCACACATTTAAATTTAGTGTGTGTGTGTTTGCGTGTGAACTATGCTTCCGTGTTAACGACAATAGGAGTAGTTGTATTTGTATGTGTTATTAATTGTGCTCATGGTATAAGAAATTTAGTAATCGACAATGTGTTTGTATAACAGTGTATACTTGCAATGGATACGGCGGCCACTTGTAAGTATTATATGACAAAGTTACTCGGTATTAGTCCTCCCAAACCGAATTGTGTGTACGATGTACGTTCAGGCAATGTCCGTGATCGTGAGCAAAAATCGTTGTTTCGCGTTTTCTACCGATCGAATGACCGACGCCGAAAACATCGTCACAGAGCAGCTAAAACACAAGAATCGTACGTTCCTTCTATGCATGCAGACGAAGTTGGTGCCAAAATAGGTGATGGCAGTGTACTGGAAGAGGACACGGTCGAGGATATTGAAAAGAAGTTCCAAGGATTTCGGAACGTGTTTGAAAAATGCAAGGTAAAGAAAAAGAAACCGCGTCTGTTCAACGTCAGTTCGGGATTGCGATTCACACTTGTTGCTAATTCCATGTTCATAGACAATCAAAAAAAAGCAGACGAAACTAAAGATATTGACACCGAAAAAGGTACCATTGGAGAGGACTATGCTGAGGAGGAGGAAGAAGATGAGGATAACGATGTAGAAGAAGAAAACGATAATAATGAAAACAGTTGTGTAGCTGGTAAAGATAATGTAGCAATCGCGCAAAAAGAAGCAGTCGTTAATGGTTTAAATGAAGAGGCTTTTTCCGAATCCAAATGTCCAAAAGATGTTGCAGATAAAGTGAATTCATGGATCGACAGTTCCGTTAAGCAGACGGACGCATATTCAGAAGAGGAAAGCCTATATGTCGACGATGAGGTAAACTTTTATGATAAAAATATTGCATTGTAATAGAATAAATTATTAACTTAATTACATAGTAGGCAGCAGTGTGCTATAGCCTTGTGTCTGTCACTGACTTTTGGAGCAGTAAAAATGCTTAAATTTTCAGCTTCAATATCTTTTACGGTAGGAAAATGAATCTAGTTGGTATTTTAGGGGGGTCAAAATAGTGATGGATCTTTTTAATCAACTTAAATCATAACTAAAAAATCGATCCAATAAATCTATTCAGAAATTGGTATACAACAAAAACAAATAAAAAAATGAGGCCGTGTTGGGTGTTCAAATATTCTTAATTGTGAATCGATCTTCCGTATTTTTATTCTGTAAATGTAAACACGGTGAAAAAGAAATTTAAGATATTGAAAAGGTGAACTCTGAAGACTGAACTACTGATTACTGAAGCCTGAAAAAAACTGGTGGTATCACGGGCCTAAAAAACTAAGTAGGTATATTTTATGATATTATTGTAATTTATTTTACTATTAGGCATTAGTACCACAGCAGTAGGTTAAATTCATTTTTGTCGAAAAAATTGCTTTGAAAATATCATCGTGTGTGTAAAATTTAATAATATACTATTTAAAGTTTCAAGTATCCTTGAATAATATTATAAAATTACAACGAAATAGGTAGATAACTATAAAATCCTTATTCTTGGTTTTAGTATGTAATTTTTTCCAAATTGTAACTTAAAATGTTTTTTAAAAACTGTGTTCATATATTTTTTAAGTTGTATGGTTACAGTATGTATACCATTTATGAGAATTCTTGTTTTAAATTTTCAATCATTACCTATAAAAATTGAACATTTTATAATTTTTTAATTACAAAATAATTTGAAAACGTTCGAGATTTAGATAAATTTAGTCAGCATTTGAATTTGAAATACTTATAAAAAAAATCGTGCCTATTTATTTTTAATATTTATCGACTGATATTTTAACAACTTAGGAACCTTGCATTACAAATTAAAATGTCTACAAATAACTCAAAACAAACCAAAATATTTTGAAAATGTTATCGTATATAGAATATGATAAGATAAACTTTCATGAAAATTTCAAGTACCTACCTACGGTTAATAAAGGTGAGTAATTTTTCAGTAAGAACAAAATAAGGAAATCGTCGTTTGAGATTTTTTTAATTTACTGGTGAATATCCAATGTCTAACTTCAATATTTTTAAAAAAATTATTTTTCTTTTCAGTAAACTATTTTTTTTGTTTAAAAATTAGGTAGAAAAACTTAAGAAAATCTTGAATACAAATTTAGAATCTTAGATTTACATAGAACATTTTTTATAAATTTTTAACTCGAAATAGTTTTTTAATTTTCTTGATTTTGATGAATTTTGTCAACATTTCAACTCCCGGAGCTCATGGAAAAAACTATTGTAGATTTATGCTCAACTTTTTTTTAATTTCCACAGACAACAACTTATGACTCTATGAAGGTTTTTGACATAGCAAAAAATTTTTTATCGACAAATAATTTTAAAAGAACTGATAAAATACAAAATTTTCTTATGCCTATAAATAGCTCAAAAAGAATCACAATGTTTCGATAATTTAGTGAACATTTCGAATATATGCAATAATTTTTTACAGCTATCCTAAAACACAAAATCCATTTTTCGATACCTGGTTTTTCATAAAAATGTCTGTTTTCCATAATTTTTCGCTTGTTTTTCCTGACACTTTTGAAAACTATTAGGAATTTTTCACTTTTGATCCCCCAAATCGAAACATTTTTATTGTACCAAAAATGTATGACATAAAAAAAACCAATACGAAACCCCATATAAGTTGTAATTTTACTAATTTAAAATATATTTAAAGTATAAGCAGGTAAGATTTTATTTATTATAATTTTAAGTTAAAATGTTGAAAGAATCGTCAAAATCATGAACATTTGAAAATTATTTTGGTGTTAAAAATGTGTTAAATGTTTGATTCTTATAGTTATGGCTAGAAAATTCAATACAAGGTTCTTCATATTTAATTTATTCTAAAATACCCCAAATAAATTTGTCGAATTGGTCAAAAAATGGTTCTTATTGGAAATTTACTTATTTTTTCCCCCTTCTGAAGTATTTACTCACTAGATCCAATTTGCTACCAAAAACCTCCTTCTAAGTTGAAGATTGATGCATTTTTACTGTTGTTATGGTAATTGATGATAGAAATAAAGAAAAAAAATACATTATTATAAAATTATTATATTCATCACTCATTAATCATTCTTTCAATTCATAATTTGAAATTAATTCAAAATTGTTAAAAACTTACTGGGTATCAAGTAAGTATACTCTGTGACCAAATTTTATCGAATATCTCGTTCAGTCAATGAAGCGGACAAAAAATTGATCATTTTAGACAAAAAAAAAAATATTATATTCGAATAGCGCACGACGACACGTTGTTGACATAATATGTGTGCACGCGCGGTAGTGCGGCGAGTGCCCCGTTA